GCTTTTTTGCGTCCAGTGAGGCGCAAGAAGATGCGTGCCCGTATTGGGGCTTGGTCGGAGTCCAAGCAGGTACTCCAGAATGAGCGACAATCTGCTACCGACCCTCTCCAACGATGACTGATGGCAATATAGTCTATTTGAGTCCATCGTTGGTTTAGTGTAGGGGGTCGCCATGTTAGACGATGTCTCTCCTTATGCTTAAAATTTGTGTTTGCTAAAAATAAGCGATTGTCTGAGCACAGTTGCAGCAGACGGTCACCATTATCTGTTCGCTGTGCCGGAATGCTAAAATATCCACCTAAATGCCTTTCTGTTTGGTTTAAGCTACCTATCTGAGCATTAAAGTCACCTCCTACGAGTACTATGTCTGAGCGTTTAGCTTTCTGAAGAAGTTCAGAAAACTTTCTGTAAGATTCATCTTTCACTTCATCTGAGCTGAAGTCAGTGGGAGCGTAGGCAGAAACGACGAAAAGGCAACGACGTGTGTCCCTATCCTTCCGAGTTCTTACGGAGCCGTTTAGCCGAACATCACATAGACGACTGTTGACGGGGATCCACTCTAGCAGTGCTTTTCCGCCCTCATGCTTAGTGCTATGCCTACTCCTGCCAGTCCACGAGAGCTGGCCATCGGGTCACCAGATACACGAAGGATGTATCTCGTTGGCTCTCCGTTTTGCCGAGGTGAGGTCAAGTGAATGACCACACTGGAATCCTGTATGCGTGTTTCGGAGATACAGCATACATCAATGGAAAAAGACTCTAGGGTTTCAGCCAAGGAAGCCTGTTGACCGATTTGACATAGGGTGCGTACGTTGAAAGCTCCAATGTGTAGTTTGGAGCGAGGTTTCAGTAGACCTGGGACAGAGTTTTGAGCACTAGAATCGTTGGCTATGGTGACACTTGAGGAGGAAACCGAAAGAGGAAGTTTAGAGTTGAAAGTCGATGTAGGAGGAATAATAGGAATTAAAGAGGAAGGTTGATTATGAATCCAGTGGTCTTGGGTGCTGTTAGAGGTATGAGGGCGGTTATCACTTCCCGATCGCCCACACCGTGGAAGGGTTCTTCTGAAGGTACGTGAAAAGGAAATTGTATTAGAGGCTGTCTCAGTGACCTGAGAGCGTGACCGCAGTGACAAGGGACAACTGCTTGAGGCCGGTCGCGCACGGTCTTTTCGTGGGAGGTTTTTGACGTGTTAGCTCCGTTCTTCGAAGGGCCTTGCCGCCGGAGACGGAAATCCGTGAGGTAAAGTGAGGTGTGACATTTTTGGGGTCGACTTTTTCTAACCCCACCCCTCCTTGTGGGAAGGCAGCATCGCTGCAGATGCTGGTTGTCTGAGGGAAACACCTTACTGCTGTCACACCCCTCTACAGTCAGCAGTACGACTTCACCCTCAGACCTTTAGTTGCTGCTTTTAGTCTTACTGTTCTCCAATCGACTTGCCTGGCATGGTAGAACCTACAGGAACATATGTTCCAGCCAATATAGCTCGGTTGGGTCATCACGATAGGCAAGCCCGACCACCGAGTCAAGGTAGCAGCTTCGGTCGGGCAGTAGAACTAAGTGTATTTAATTCAATAAACATATCTACGTTCCGTAAAATTAACACAAGATTTTAGTTTGCACGAGTTGAAAAGCAGTTTTATCGTCGGAGCGTTCATCCGCAGGCCTCAAAGTACTCTTTGTGTTGGGAATATCGTTTCTCAAACCGACTTCTCACTTTGATGCAGTTTTACTATCAAATGCCAGATAAACGACTGTTAATGGGGATCTAATGATTTAGTGCTTCAGCCCTAGCTCTTAATGCGTACATCATACTACGTTTCAAATCTGGAGATAAGACTGACATGAACAATTATCGGTCGATAAACATTACTCCAGTTATCTCTAGGATTATGGAAAAAATTATAATTGATGAACTTCCTAACTATTTACTCGTTGGAAAATTTATCAATGATACTCAACATGGATTTCTTAAAAATCAATCTTGTACGACATGTCATTTTGACTTCTTTAATTTAGTCTATTCTCTACATAGCCAAGGATATCTAGTCTTAGTGCTATATCTGGACATTTCTAAAGCCTTCGACATGGTTAGCCACCAACTTCTTATAGGTAAACTCGCATCTTATGAGGTTCAAAATCCTTTACTTGCTTGGCTTGATTCCTTTCTCAGCAATCGACATCAAATAGTTAAAATTAACTCTTCATTGTCTAACGCTGTCCCTGTTAGAAGTGGTGTAATACAAGGTAGTGTCTTACGCCCTTTGCTCTTTTTACTGTTTATCAATGATATTTGTGAAAGTTTTTGTGTCAGTAAGTCCCTTCTATATGCAGATGATCTTAAAGTAGTATATTCATTTTCTCCACATGACCTGAAAAATATGCAAATTGCATCAGCATGGAGCTTAACAAGGTAGCACAGTGGTGCTTAAAACGGCAACTGGAGCTTAATACGGCTAAATGTGGATGGATATGCTTCGGCGATACATCACTCAACCTAGACATTACCATAAATGGAGAAGTGTTATCTAGGTTACATACAGTAGTAGACTTAGGACTTAGATATTCCCAAGACTTGTCGTTTACAGAACATATATTAAAACAGACCTCTAAGTCTCAACGTCTAATAGGTTACATAACTCGAAATCTTTACAACACTGAGTCACGTATTCTAATGTACAAAGTTTGTGTTCGACCACTTCTAGAATACTGCACGTTTATTCTTAGCAGTGCGCGCATAAAGGATAAATTAAGGCTGGAATCAGTACAGAGACGATTTACACTTCGTATTCTTGGAGCTGATTGTACCTTAACTTATAATTCTAGATGTAATAAACTTGGGCTAGACCCTTTATGGAAAAGGAGACTCAAACTGAATCTCATCTTTTTCTTCAAACTACTTAATAAACAATCCTTTACATCCAATCACGTGATTCAATATGCAGAAACTTCTCATTATGACATCCGTAATTCCTTGGCACTTGTGAAACAAACTCATTCTAAATCATCTCTTTATATGAATTAATTTACCTGTAAATTTTCTAGACTCTGGAATAACCTACCACAATCTATCCGTACGATAAAATCACTCCCATTATTTGTTCGCTGCATCGATGCATACTGCTCCTCTGAAAATGCATTAAATGTTCTAGCACCTGTAAGTGTATCTCATTCCACAAGTGATATTATAGGAGCTTTAAATGTTTAGCCATTTTTATTAGTGCATTCCCTAAGTAAAACCACCTTGCTATCACTTTATGTTAACACCGTCCCTAGCAAGTTTAACTAATTTGAATAACATCAACAGGATATCACTGTCACATGACACATGCATTTCGGTAGACTTGATTGACATATTTTGGTAATTACTGCTTAGTTGTTTTTGTTTTAATTTCTCTAGTTGTAGATAATTATCATTAATTCGATATGGCACACGAAATGACCTTAATCACACCGTTCATAAGGCAACAGGCTGTCCATTTAAGAAAAATTAAAAGTTTCCGGCTGATGCATTGGATCGCTGTAATACAAGTACTACCTAAACAATTACTGAACTAGTATACTTAAAACTTTCCTGTATCACATGTTTGTTCTGTACATCTAATGTTACTATTTATATCAAATTGATCATGCCTGTAAACTGGCGTCAATTCTGTAATTATTATTTTCAGAATATATAAAATTATTATTATTGTAACTAATGCACGCTCTGGTTACACCTAAATCGGAACATGCTTAGTGCTTCATTCTCAATCAATCAGCTTTAGTGGACGTACCGAGATCCTGCATAATATACATTTTATATCAACTCTAATGTTTTTACCACAGTATCTCGGTTGTTCATGTTTATACATTCTCCCATTTCAATTTTCTCTCTGGCTTAGGGGAAGTTAAGTGAAGTATGATATTCAAGGAATACTGCTTGGTAGAAACGACATAATACAATCTCTTTCTCATTTTAAGTGGACGCATAAGCTGGTCGGGTTCTAAACTACTGACTGTTTGTTAATCATTAGTTAATTCACAACTGAACTTCCGTGGTTCACGAGAAGAGTATGGAGCTATAATTTATGCGTGATTAAGAGTGTCAAGTGCATATAAAGGTTCAGTTATAAGACGAAATCCTTATTTATAATACTCTACTGCTTATCATGTTTCATAAAGCACGAACAGTCATTAAAGAAATTATAATTTGGTTTAAAAGATTTATTGCCAATTTTGTTAATTTTTTAGATCATTGTCATCATAGGAAGAAATCACTTACAAGACTAGTGAAAACTAATATAAATCACAGTTTGTTTTTGTTTTTAGTAGGTCATACTATTTCTTTATTTCATGTCAGTTTGTGACTTATTTATTTATTTGAACAAATAAATATTGGTACAAAGGGGCATTGAATTTATATGCGCCACACAGGTCACTAATTTGTGTGTGGGCTGTGATACTGCAAGGGTGCCCAGACCAAAGCAGGTGTTTTTTTCATGGGGCCACACCCCGATCCTTTGATCTGAAGGTCTAATCCACAAGACAGTGTAACAACGTCAGGAGATGCAGTTCCATGGTAGCCGGTGACTAACAATTGGTTCATACGGCAATTGTCCCCTCAAGATCCTGGAGCCCATGTACAGCAATGGTATGGAATGAGGGTTTTCCAACTCCCTTAGGCGGATCCTCCATATCCACCAACCCGGTTAAAGCGCCGAACATTCACCTTCCGTCCTCGATTTCGTAAATAACAGTAATGCCGCGAGAAGGCAGCGAGTAAAACTTCCCTGGCAATCGATGTATACGCGTTGCCATGTGAGAGCATTTCGAGGAGAGCGGACTCTCACCCCCTCGGCCGTACTAGGGTATTTAGGGGCGTTTTGTGACTTAAGTGATCCTCGAATTTCAAAATATGAATGCTTAGGAGGGTGGATTGCCTGTCAAGTTCAGCAGTAAACAATAAATGATCTTAAGCTTATTTTATAGCTAAACATCATGAAAGAACTAATACTTACCCAACAAAAATGGACGATCCCAATAATTCACTTTCGGACTAAGGTTCACCTTGTTCAGGTGATCTACAAGTTTCATATACGTTGTATGAAAGGGAGCCAACAAGATTTCTTCATTACCAACCAGTGCTACACTACCAGGCGTAGGGGTGCCTGGGGTAGAAGTATTTGTACCCGAATTATTTCCAGGAATATTTGAAATAATCATAGATCCACTGATAGTGTTTGGAACAGGGGGTTGAATCAATATTGGACGGGATTGTATAGCTAAATGCAATGTGCACCGACGACAATAAGCCAAGACAGCACGACGACAGGCTGCAATAACCAAACAGTCTTCACAATGGTTAAGTTGGAGAGTATTTTCAATCGGTCCCAAAACAATGGTCAGCTTGCGACACTTATCTAGTGTAACAGACCTACAAAAAGTATTTAAGGAATTCTTGACGGAAGATACAACATACAGTCTAAATATTAGTTATATAAATAAGTCGAATACAATGTTGTCTATAACACTGAACAATATAATTGCGGCTGTCGACTGTCTGATCCAACGATTACTAAAAACAATAGAATGGCCTCGTAAAAAGACTTGAGATGTTAATTACACAACAGCGTTCCCTCAAGATTCAGATGTAAACAGATATTAAGAGTAACTAATATAAAACAAGGCTTTATACAAACAACCGATAGTGAATTGATAGCATCTTTGTTACTAATTTACGAACGATATACATTGATGTACAACACGCTTTAAAACACTAAAATAAACGGAACTGGAAGCTAATTATATGCAAGTGTATGAATTTACTATGTTAGCAGCACTTTTATCGCCATTGGAAAGAACAAGATGTAAAGTAAAAAATCCAATGTCTTGAAAATTCAGCTGAAAGGGCTGGAGACAGCAGTAAACCTACCATACGAAAAAATATAAAAACACTTAATGGATGTTTTTAAAAGGAAAACTATACATATAGTTTCACCAAAACCCTTTATTAAACTCGTCACTAATACATCATCAACAGCGGATACTAAAAACGGACTGTTCTACCATAAATACTGTATTTTACTAACTCGTGTAGATATCGTAAGTTAATAAATGAACATAATTGTAATTCAACAATTTTGGAAAACAACAAATTCAAAGGGGTTGCATTGGCTTACAATCGTTGGAGAGTAGTCCGAACACTAATTAACCTCCTTAGGTATCAGAAACCGAATAAAATCACTAACCCATTTACAAATACTGTGGATCAAAACAGAATGTATAAGCACGTACTTAGTGATTTTCACTGATAATTACATAAACTGACGCACATAATGATACAATAAAAAATCGAGACCTATGAAATATACTTCTCGATTAGACTAACATAACTTTGGGTTTTGACTACATCTTTCTTGATAATATGCATTCATATATGGTAGTTGGTACCAGAAAAATATTATCATCAAAACGTGAAACTACTGGAACATTTGTATCAGTAGTTTGTGTTAGATAGTTGAAAAGTTTCCAGGTATGTCTGGATACTGTATCTTATTTTATTCATTTAAACAAATAAACATCGATATAAGAGGGCACCAAAATATGTATGGGCCACACGAAGTAGTTCTTACTCAGTTTTTGTGTGGACTGGGATACTGCCCAGGTGACTAAACCGAAATGGGCGGTTTTCTTAAGGGGCCATTCAGCGAACCTTTGATCGGGAGGTCCAATCCACAAGACAGAGGAGTAACGTTAGATGTGGTCTCATGACAGCCATACGTTATTTGTACCCTCAGGACACTAGAGCTCATGTGGTCCTCCGTAGCCACTAACTCGGTTCAAGCGCCAGATATTAACTTTTTGTCTTCTCGATGTCGCAGAAAATACCCTCACCGCGAGAAGGTAGTGAACAGGACTTCTATGAAAGTGATTATATGAGAGGATTTTGAGAGGGGTAGCGGACTCTCCCCACCCTTGGCCGTATTATGAGCATTTGGGGGCAGGTATTGTATATGAGGTTTTCAGTCTTCTCATCGTTTATATTATGAACTGCATTTAAACAGTCCCCACTGATATGTACATCTGCAAAGGAGTGCCTTAAAACTGCCACTAGTTACAATTTTTAAGTAAATTTGTCACAGTGGCTAAGTTTTATCGGAGACGCATGCTTCATCTTATTTAAAACTCGCCATTTTATGGTAGAAAATTTTGTAACGAACGGAAACTTCAAAGTACCTTGCTTACGATGCACAAAAGCCAGTGGAGACTGATCGAATGTAATCCATAATATCAACTTGTTTGGCAGATCAATGGCTATCTGGAATTTGTAGCTAGGTGGATAGTCCATTAGAAATCGCATAAAAAGTATTAGGTTTCAGTTTTAGAGTAAACAACGATTCTGGAATAAAGTTATGACCGGAACAAGAGACCCAAATAGGATAAAACACGAATTCCGGGTTAAATTAGAAGTCCCAGTTCAAACTTTACTAGAATATCTAAGTAATGATCATCAATTTTTCAGAAACGAATTACATGAAAATTATCATGAGCATAGGAAAGAATAAAGTTAATTATGAATGAGAACGAGGTACTGGAATAGTTTGGTTTATGGTTATTTATTTATCAAACATTTCAGAGCGCTAGTAGGCACTCTGTTATATCTGACATTGATAAACTAGAATCACCAAATATTAGTCGATAAATCTAGCGAAAAACCATGGATTAGGAAGCCGCAGTGGTAAATTTCTACATTTACTAAATAAAAATGTGGTAAGAAAAATATCATAATACATGACCAAAAGTGTTTATAGAAATCCACCACAAGGATATATTAACTTTGATAAACTAACCTCATCGGTGACAAGAGATATAAATAACTACAATGGGCACGATGTATTTTAAGCGTGGCACCATCAAGTGTAGCAGAACTCTGAAATCAAAATAAAATGATTTCAAGGAGAATTTTGATACTGAGCGATAAGTACTTGTGAATGTAGACAAACCAAGTCGTTACACGTAAAGAGAAATTCAAGAAATTTTAGATATAACTTAAGCACTCCCAGTTGATAATTAAAATATATCGAGAATAGTGACACAAACCTTTCTAGTTCGTTTTTTTTCTAGGTTGAAAAGATCTTATGACTCCGCATCTATACTGTTATGATTGCTTACTTCATTCTATCAGTTTATTTCAATATTTTTTTCTGATTTTACTTATTTTTATGTGCCGTTGTAAAATGCAAAATTAAACTGATGTAGATTTGTAGTATTATGTCACTCATTACTCCTGTCATATTTAAACGACCTTAATAAAAAAACTGTGGAACCTGATGAGAATTTATCGAAAAGAATATTCTTCGTTCAAATACTAGTCTTTTAAAGTTATATGTATTTGGTAGCCTTCAAAATAAATTCCATTTCAAATGTGACGACAGCCAGTCTGCATATAACACGAGTCAAAAGTCTGGAGTTAGTTAGAAAACAAATCTGCTCTTACTAACTAGTAGAATCCGTTACATTAAGTGGTATGAATTTAAAACAAATAAGATTTTCTGGTGAATTGTAAATACAACTGCTGGATTGCCATCTCCATTTGTTAAAGTAATATCGACAGAGAATTCTTAATATCAAACGGTTACACAGAGAATCCATAAAACAACAGACACCAGAGAAGCATTTTTATTGATCGATAGAAAAGGTTACTATTTCGCAAATTGAATCCAACAATGTTCCAAAATATTTTTATGGTACTTTAACATGGTAGCAGTAAAATTACTTAATAATAACTAAACTCTCTCATTCTGTATAAAAAAACTGTACGGATCAATGCAAAAAGTAAACAGTTTAAGGTTAAAATAAACTTACGCGAGCGATAATTTGGCGAGAAATCATCGACATGACAACCAGTTTGTTTCTAGAATATCCAATTAAAAACATGTATGAAAAATTGACTGAAATGTCACTTAACAAGATTTTTAACAACTTAGTATGTGTGAAAAACGATGCACTATAAATATGTAAGTTGGTGCATAGGTGGAACATTTTTTAAATCACCCTATTGGGGTAAAAACTGAATACGATGATGGTGGACCGCAAAGTGCCTATATCAGGCTGCAGTTATCAATAGAAAAAGCTTCAAAGTATACACTTTTCGTATACTTAATGAAGCACCACACAATATACATGATTTCAAACAACTGGAAACCGTTTTCTAAATAGTGAGGTATGAATTCTCCATAAGCTTACCCACTGTGACCTCCAGTTCGTGGAACTTGGTGTGCGTTTGTCGCAATCTTCTGACGCTTTATGATATCATTCTGTGGCTGTTGCTGAGTATTGTTCAAACCAGACTCATTGTCCAAGACAACCTGATGAGGAAGACGCCACTGTAAACGTCGACCATTTCGAATACAGTTTTCAACCGAAAACGGGTTTTGTGTTAACCATGAACGTATCCAAGAAAGAAGGCCACGTAAATGGAAAGCATGTGTAACCTACAAAAGGTTTTACATAGTTTGAAGAAAATGAGGTGACTGGGAATAACCAAAGTGAGGAAGTGACTGATAAAGCACAGTTATATATTGCAAATAACTATCTTAGATTATGGTACGATATAGACAGCTGTGATTCATTTTAATTTGGAAAATATTAGTAAAGCTACGATTCACCACAAAACGATTGACATCGATCTCCAAATAAGGATTTGAGGTAACCGGCATCAAACATCCGGTAACACCATCTAAATGGAGCTGGAATTTTCGCGAAAAAAGCCATTACGAATAATACCAGAAATAACAATTTAGGAACCGTGTAATAATAAAGCCATAAACGAATATTCTTCGTCAATATTGCCTATACAAGACATATTGGTGGAATATGAACAGCGTGCGCCTCTATATTAACAAGTAAACAAACACAATATGATGACAAAAGAAAATTTTTGTGGGCTATTGTTGCTTTTAGAATGATAAACAAATAACAAGGAAATACCTTGGAATAACCAGTTGCTGGAAGAATTGTTGGTATATGGACAAGTTCTGAAAATGAATTAAGCGTCCTGAAATAAAATAAGGTTAAAAGTACATAAAAGTAGCCGCACCTTCCTTCATCAGCTGATCCTTCCAAAACAAGATCCAAAGCTTCGATAGCACCTTCAGACAATGTTGCATCCATACTATTTCCACCTTGGTTATCTGAATATTAAGTACAAAACAGTAAGTAATGTGCACACATAATACGTGTTTTGAACCAAGAACTCATTTTGCAGCCGGTAGTAATCTATTAATGTGCCATGAGAAATAATGAAAACCAAAACAAGTAATAAAGCAAACCAGAAAAACAAGGATTCGAGAACGCAAACAGGAGACTGGATGTGATTTCTAGACGTGACTAGATAACAGTCAGATTTACATCAATTATTAAGGCAATATATATAGCATTATATCTAGGGAAATATGGTAAGAGACAACTAAGATTTCTGCTGTAAACAGTAAATACTTTGACATAAATGTAAATGAGAATCCGTTTTAATTCAACACACTGAGCACATTTATATTGTTATTAATGCACACGTTTTCTATACACTCTGAACGTTCACCTTGCGTTGATTATTTCTGGTTAACACGAAGTTAGCACTCAGGAACTATGCGGTACAGTTATGTTACGACATACATTACTCAGTAATCAATTAATTGACGAATTTATTGTTAATTCAATCATTAGAATACTTATTAATTGAATGTAATCATTTCTGGTAGTGACAGCTGCTCACAAGGACTAATTATTGGAGCATGCCTCGAATGACCAGAAATTAAAGACAAGTTAACCAGACAGACAAAAAGTTTTGCGATAAAATGACATGCTTATACACAGAATATGAACATAAAATAAACGTAAATTAACAGACGATTGAGAAGAGTTAGCTTGTAGGCTACTCACTTTCAAATCAATTTGAACCTAACTGTTATCATATCAACATAAACATAAGCAACAAATAAAAATTACCGGGTTCAACAAGGAGATCAATCATTTCATTCAAATTTTCACTGATAAATTGAAAATGATATTGCTCATCTAGATTCTGAAAACTGAAAGTCAAATTCATACAATTACGCGACATAGTCTGATAGGAGTTGAACGACCTGAATCCAAATCGGATGAACGACTGTAACTACCAGGCCACCTAGCAGAGTAAATAATAAGATCCCAGAAAACTAACTCAGCATTGGCTGACACTGCTGAAGCTCGCAGTGATATCTTGTTTATCTGTTGTATGTACAGAAAGAGTACAAATGTGAACAAATTAACGGATTGTGAAGTACGAATCCTCTCTATAAACTATGTAGATCTGAAAACGTGTAACTACCGGCATCTGCTGAATTCGCTGCAGTAAATATCCTTTCATCAACATCCTTAAGCTTATCATATTGTGTCGCCGACATAGTTAAGCATGTATGAAAGAGGCTAAATAGCTGTATAAGTTAAACTCAAACATACACCCAAGCCAAATCCTCAGTTAGCTGAAGTTTATTACATGCTACATGTTTCCAAACAGAATAACTATTGAGTAATGTAAATCGACCTATCGAAAATTAGGATGATCTACCTTAATCTTGATCCAGTTTTACTTTTGTTTTTTGCATAAGTAACAAGCTTTTTGATGTTCTAAAACACATAACAAGGCTTAAATGTTTTAGGGAAACATTCTTACATGAACAGCAAGTCTTGGATGAGGATGAACTTGAAAGATACCGTATGCGAACGGTTCTGCCCTGGGCCAAAGGCTCAGAGTTACATGACTAGCCTTGCCCATCACACTGACTTTACATTATGACACTTCAAGACACCGCAAACTTTAGGAATGTGCGATAACCTTCAGATGACCTTTCAAGTAAGACAAACAAAAAATATTATTCAAATTCTTGTCGATAGAAACAGAAGACGCCTAGCTTATTGTGATTTCATGAGAATGGACTTATGTTGCACCTTTTTGGAGTGTTTTTATTAAATTTATCGCATGAGGAGTTTTGTCCATTCAATGACTAAAAGACTAGTCGTCAGTAGTAGGGACAGATGGTTAGAAGATCCATATTCGTCTTTGAAATTTGTAGTACTGTAAACGCATCAACAAAAGTTGACATTACTGCGTGTTCTGGTACAGAATCCCAATAATTTATTACTCAATGGGAAAGATGAAACCCTAGAGATGGAAGATTTGATCACCGTTTTGAAACTTTCTTAAAATGTCCCCTTGGATGATCAGTCCCACATTTTAAAAAAAGGATAAGACATGTTAATGACAGATTCATCTTTCAGTATACGTTCAGTATACCAATATGACATCACCCCTTAGCCTGTGGTAGGATAACGGAATTAGGTTGAGACATCTCAGTCGGTCTTCATAATAACCCGCTGCCTGAACTCTATTCTAAATGCGGCCTCACATACGTCGTATAGAATACTCTGGAAATTTCTTCATCCAAGTGACAAAATGACTTACAAATAACTCATCTGAACCCAGGGCATTAAGAAGAGTTGGTCTCACAGTTGCTCGTAGTTTCTAAGTCGTCAAAGCTCTCATAATCCTTAGATTAATATCGTCAGGAACACTAAGACACATCTAGTTTGGCATATTGAATTAATATTGAGATAACTCCTTTTTCAATATACACGGTATCCGTCGAAGGAACGCCATTGCTGCAATCGATATTTGGTCTTTTACCATGGTTAGCAAAAAGCGCATCACTAAAATAATCTAATAAAGTTTCAGGTATCTCGCCTTTTTTCACTCTAAATGTCAACGAACTTTGGGCATCAGAAGTAACGGGGTCCCATCCCTTATCTGGGATCGTCTCTTTATACATGGGAACGACCATTCCGGTTTATTTTCAGAATCCCTAACCAGTTGTTTTTCTGTACAAGAGTCTGGTCTTCACAATCGACCACTTAAGTGAGACCCTTGTCTTATGATAAGTGGGTCCGTACTGTTTGGAGCCTGCAGAACTATACATTTTCCAATACAATATTCTACATTCAAAAACTCTCTTAACCCGTGTAATCAACTATGTTGGGTAGTTATTCCGTCTTTGTGATGTTAAGCACGGTATAAATAAGGACGTAAGAAAACCAGTTGTACACTTAAATATAGATCATGATTCCTCAATTGCTGAGGTCGTATTGATCGACCAGTTTGTTGTAGCAGCAGTGTGAAGAAATTGGACACATCAAGTCAGTTTGTAAAAATATTATTCATTTCGATGAGATTAGTACAAAACTCTGTGATCCGGACCCTAATATTTCGGGTGATTCAAATGGTCATATACTTTTCTCATTTACAATTTCAATTAATCCACTTTATATTCAAAAGCGATAACATCTGTTCAGTGATGCATTTTACTATTATATTGTTGACACTAGCAGTATCAAATCCACCATTTCAGTTGGAAAGTTAAAGTCAATAAATTTCGATGCCATAATTAAGCCTACTTCTACTCCGTGTATTACAGGCCATAAACTTCTTATTTTCGAGTGTTGTAATTTGTTGATTAGAGACGATAAATCTACAATCCAAGCTTATGAATTACTTACCAATTATTGTGAAAAATATATACTACATTTAAGAAATTTAAGAATGATTCTGGGACAGATGACTGACCACCAAAGACGAATAACTTGCTAATTACGATTCGAAGCCAGAAAAATTTCGCATGAAACCAGAGGTCTCTCAGTCGTTGAGATTGTCAGTACCTCGAAAGAGGGCTGTATTACGCCCTTGTACTTCTGTTTCTCCAGTTAAGTAGTACTTTTTTGGCTGGTGTTCTCCGTGTTGCATTTAAGGATCTTGCTTTTTGCCTTTTGCATGTTGAGGTCTACTAATGCGGAGGCTGCTGCTACATTGTTTTTCTTGACATGCATTCGTTGGTGTAAACGAGAGTGAAGAGCTGAGTCGTCTGTGAAGTCCATCTCTTCTAGTTGATTTCGAGATATCCATTGTATTATATGCTTTATTTCAGATATCGTGGTTTCCATAATTCAGTCAACCATCAGAAGAAAGGGAAAGGGAGAGAGTAGGGAACCTTGTTTGACTGGGGTCTTCACTTCGACTGCGTCTGTCAGTTGTCATTCATACACTAATTGCACAGCCCAGGAAGTGCAGGGCCACAAGAAGAATTAGCAGAAAGAATGGATCTTTATAGATACCTCCGGAAAGAATAGAGAGAGAGAAAACAAAAAAACAGAAACATCATACACACAGTTCCTTTTGTCATTTAGAAACGTGCAGGAACAAAGATTCTAACAAAATAGCATGAACCCATTTTCTTTCGTTGATTCTCATCAGCTGCTTACAAACTATGATATTGAAGACACAATTACGAAATTAGGACTCCCCTATCCACACTGTCAAATGCTTTCTCATATTCAATGAAGTTGATATATAGTGACGAGTTCCATTCAATTGATGGATCAGCAATGATATGTATTATCGCGATTCGGTCTGTGCACCACCGATCCTTACGGAATCCAACCTGTTGATTTCGAAGTTCGGTGTTTACTGAATCTTTAATCTGGTTCAGAAACACTCTGTTGAGAAATTTTCCCGATACTGATAGTAGTGTTCCCGCGGTAGTTCTCACACTTGCTCAGATCTCCTTCCTTCGGTATCATGAAGAGGCATCCTTCTTTCCAGTCTGTCGACACTTGTTGTTCCGCTCAAATTTTCCTGGATGGAACGTGAAGTATACATGCAGTTGCCTCAATACTTGATTTCAGTCCTTCAGCTGGTATATTTTCAGGTCCTGCTGCTTTCCCACTCTTGATTTGTCTGATGACCGGTCATCCTGATTTATTCGATCGTTGATGGAGTGACGACTATGGGAATGTATGGATTCAATGGAGCTGGCCAATTCCAGAGTTTCTCAAAGTGTTCTATCCATCTGTTCCTCTGTTCTTGAATCTGTGATTGTCTCGCCTTCTTTGTCCTTGACTGGTCGCCCTGGTTTACTATATTTCCCTGCTAGTTTCTTCGTTGTGTTATATAGCTCTTCCATATTTCATTCGGTTGCACCTTTTTCTGCTGTCGTCACTAGGCCTTCCACGTATTTCCACTTGCCAGTTTTAATGCTCCCCTCCATTAGCTTGTTTGCTTCAGTGTATTCAATCTGTGCCTTGACTTTCTCTTTTCTTGTTCGTCTGTTGCTTATTGCTGTCTTCTTGTTCTTCCTATCTTGGATCATGTTCAGGGTTTCGATAAAGATCCATTCAATATAAGGATGCTACTTGAGGGGAAGAGCCTCCTAACACATTGAAGCTAGTGCTTATTTGATACCTTCCCAGTTGTTCTCCATAATACTTTATTCTTCCTTCAGTAGATCCCGTAAGGTTCGGAACCTGTTATTAGGAGTTATCACATCTTGGTGATTGTTACGATACGATGAATCAGTGTAGACAATGATGAGAACCTAGTCAGCCTTTAAATTGAGCAGGGGATAGGAATCCGAACACATTTGCTTAAGAGTTTCCTTTTACAACTGAATTATCTTGGTTTCATCTTACAAATGAAGCTGAAGTTAGAATGACGGAACCTAACTGTTATTTCATCAGGTTACGGATGTTAGCGAAACATATAATTGGGACGAGGCACGAAGTTGATATTGATACAGCTTTTAAAACGTTGTTTCTTTTCTAAGTGGCTTCAAATGACTTCCACAGATGCCGTTGAGTCAGATGGGCAATAATATGGACAAGACATGTATTCTGACCTACAATCGATGCTTTTCATTTATGCCACTTGACAACCAGTTACAACTCATTAGGATGTAACTGCCTAAATTAGGTAAAAGTACGTTGAGGCAACATAGCCATATGATTTCTTTACATGTCCCACTCAGATCCAGTGATCTGGCTGTCAAGCTCTCAAAACACATCTTAAGCACAAAATGTTGACATCAGATTGACATGGTGTAACCATTAATGTCCAAATCATGTCTCCCCACAATGTTGGTTAATCAGCCGACGTAGTTCATGTTAATCTATAAACGACTTGCCGCCGGGCACCTAGTTTCCTGAGGTTGGAATAGTTGGACTGAGGAATTGTCCGTTCAACAACTCTACAATCTCATTAAGTTTACTACAACCAGACGAGCCCTCCACATGTTGACAGAAATGTGCTTGCGTAACGGACCGTGGTGATAATACAGATGGTAAAAATGTAGTCACATTCCCACAAACGCCAAATACAGCCTGGCAAGTAGTATCACTGGGAGTTAGAAATTCGAATGAATGATGAGTAATGTCAATGACTGCGAACCCTGGTGGTCGGATGGGCTTTTCCCTCATCTTATCAATGGGTGAACCCGAAAAGCATGGTAACTGAACTTAGCATACTAAGACCCGTATATATGATATTACAGGACTGCATAAAACCCAGTTCTTCGGTATGCAGACTATAAAATTACGAAAGATCTAACAGATTATCCTACTAACACTGGTAGATGAAGGTTGGCAGAATGCTGAGTCTGCAAGACATACTATTTTAAAGTGATCACCCTAGTAACTAACAATTAGCAGCAGCACCAAGAATTATTATCAAGAAACTGTATCTCAACTTTACAACAGAACTGCGTCTTCAATTCCTTACTCTAAAGTTTGGATTAATTCGCAAGGGATTGACAAGACTCCTATTGAAAATTTTGATCAGGTACATACCTAGAATCGACTACCATTAAGAATATGCTGGAAATTGTTCATCTTTCGTAATTTGGAATCTTGAGTAATCCGATGAATTCAGTCAGTAGATCCACAAACTGCAATGAATAAATTTACAAACCTGCTCACTTATTTTGATTATTGTAAAGGACGGTATATAAAGCCAAGACAAAAATCATAATGAGCACGAATCGGTGATAGATATTTTTAATCCCTGAATGAACTAAACACACTGTATAAAAAGCAACCCAAAAATAAAAAGCTTTATTCTAGTAGAAGATGATCATGACGACACGGTAGTTGTGTACACAAGCTTTTTGCCAATAGGAATAAAATCACTACCAATCTTCAGCGTTATGATGGATGATGCATCGACTACAAAACGAGCTGTTGGCTGGACAATTTGTAGAGCTTCCTTAGGGTAAGGAGGAACGCGTAAATGTCCGCATGTAGGATCGGTAAAACGGTACAATGTTATGTTTTTTAAGTCTTTAAGAAAAAAGAAAACAGAAAAACACAAATCAGAAATTAGACTGGAGTAAATAAGAGGAAAGTTGTAATCACAGAATAAGTCACTTCGTTTAAGCAGCTGAATAAATTCCAATTGACTCCAACAATTGCTGGAGTGGTGGTTATATATAATATAAATCAAGGATTTATGTTTATCTATTTTTTCAGCATCTAAAAATCAAGGACAAACTATAGTTTGACGCGGACAGATATTAGGTCTCTGCTAACAGACAGCTGATCAGAGCAATGAATAAGTAGTAATCAAGATTCAAAACAAGTGTTTAATAAATTTTAGATGAGAAATGATTTATACGTGAGATAGTTACGTGGAATATTATAAGTATTTTTGTACATGAGATCACTTTATATTTATATATATATATATATATATATATATATATATATATATATACTAGGAAAGAGTTGTGAAAAAAAATTGAGGAGCTATCCACAAGGAGAATAGTCTGTGTATTTTTGATGAGTGCTTATTGGTCAGTTTGAAGCAGTATTAATACTTAATACTCCGACTTCAAAGCTTTAATTTGACTCAAGAACCTTCTAAACCTTTTACTATTTACAAATTACAGTTACTTAGCTAAAAACGGGTTACTTGACTTTATGATGAAAATGACCCAGCTGTGTGTGTGCTATGATTTTTTATATGTAGTGCATCATGATTTAATATGTAGAATACATAATGAGATAAGCTGAGTATAAAACAAACGAATGTGCTTTTGATCATTTATCTGATGTCCTTACTGGTGTGTTGAGAAAGTGAGAACTTTTCGACGACTATCAATGGTGAAGAATACAATATCCAAGATTTTAAACTCAGCTATTTCATAATAGGTTTGACTATGTACTTCTTCATATAACTAATACACAATATATACTCTTGATGTGGTTTTGAAATTGTAACTGAATCAAATTACGAAAAGTCAGGAATTTGAATAATTCAGATAATAAAATTCAAAAAACTTTTACCTTTACTGTTTAACGCAAGTGAACGACAGTGAGTGACTACACGTGAAACCACATCGGTATATGTGTCGCCGTCAAAAATAGTAACACCATTAAGTGTAAAGAGACCTGAACCAATATCCGGATTTAAAAACGTCAAGGATGCTGAGGTAGATGGTTCACAAAACAAAATAAGAGGCTCTAAAGGACAAACACTTTCTTCAATACGACTATCATTAGAATCACACGAGTAGTTGATCTAAAAAATAATAGTAATCGACCGTGACAAATATCAGGTTTAAATTTTAAAAGGCAACTGACGAAAAATTTGATGAAAGATTCGGCTCACTATAATTGGAATCCATAATAATTCAAAGATTAAATTAAATTTATAAACACGTTCGATATTAACACTTTTATACACTATAATTGAATGTTACGAACAATTTATGTTTATTGATATGTGATGCTTTTTAGCTTATGAAGAGATGAGACAGTTGACATAGATAAAAATATGGTAAATTATCTATCAAGAAGCAGTTACGGCTGTACACTCACGCGGCAAAAATGAGAAATAATAAATTATTAAGTGAATGCCCATACGGTGAAAACTGTTATAAATCACTTTTGGAAACTGTTGACATTGCATTCAAACCTAAGTAATACTCTAAGAGTGTTTTATCAGCGTCAATTCCATACACCAATAAAAACTAAAGATAATAATGCGTTCTTCGTGTTAGGATTTAGTTAATTTTTTATTTTAAAGATATTGTGAATCCAATACCGACAGAATTAATGTGATCAGTCCATTACATTTTTATTCGTTGACTAGTATTTTAAAGCTACTCCGGCAAAAACCATTCACTTTTATAATCCAGTGAGTAGGTTTAGGATCATTATATGCTTTAAATTCAAGTTGTAAACCCAAAGCCAATAGTTATATCAAGCGAGTAATTATCAGTAATTAACAAAAGAACAGTTAGATAACCTAATCTCCTATGCCTGTATTCTTTTGATAATTCATGTCTAATTCTTAACTTTAGTCAATCTTTCAAGTGTTAATTTGGAAACGATAGTTTTGATAAGTTGTTTTTTAAACGAAAAATGGAACTGGGTAATACCAGAGGAAGAAAAACAATACATGTTTAATCATGAGGTTACAAAAAGTAACTAATTTATGATGAAGACATCACATTAAGTATATATTCATGGAAAAGTGACTGATTTGTAAAGTCGAGTTGGGAATAACCAGGCAAAAACAGTAAACAATGACAGGTTAAAGGCCAAAAATAACCAATCAAGATCGAGGTCTACTCGATAAATTGTGTGTTCACGTGGAGAGATTCGAACTCTTCACTTCTAGATGAAGTTTGTGAGGATGTCGATCAGAAGAACGACGAAAACTTCACGAACAAACCATCTAGTCCAGAGAACAAAACTCCACCATAGCCAAGCAAAAGAATATCCTTCTCATCTCACTTGTTCCCCTTTTGAATATTATTATTATTATTATTAATGGCTTTATTCAATATTATCTTTTTGGTACAATATAGAATATCTACTTAAGTTCGGTTGTTAACACAGCCAGCACCATCCACGATAAAAACGGTATTGCTAATGTGTTTGCAATCTTTGTTCATTCACTTTAATGGCTAATTATTTACTCTAAACATAAAAGCTTTGAAGCCACTTTCTTTTCACGTGTTTTCGAGATAATGCAAAACCTGCACAACTATGAAAGCATTAACGCAGTATTATTAAGTCAAAATTATGAAATATCCAAGTGGTACAAGGTGTGAAACGATTTTCCGGCTGAAAGTGACTTGATCAGTTGATCTGAAACTATCCACTGATATTATTATTAATAGTTGTTCTATAATTAATTTTGATAATTTGGTTTGACGTATTGCATTAAAAGCTTTTGTTTGAAATGAAAGGACCTAAATGTATGCACTTTTCGTTTATCATTACTGAACTAACTGAAATGAAATTTCTGAGAATGAGTAACAAAAAAAACTAGACATCAACTAATCAAAAATCCGTTCAGCTGAATTTATTACATCAAAATATTCTATAATTAAAAATAATTGTATTTAAGTTCACATGTGTTACACCGGAACATAAATGAAATATTTAAATTGATGGAATCATCACTACATAAAAAACGAGGGAAATTTCTAGACAAAAACTATGAAGAACAATGTGTTCAAGTGAAATCTATTTGATGTATTCCGAAACTGTTTAGAGAAACAACAGAAAATAATCGAAAAATCGTCAGCACAGATTGATATTTTACCATAAAAACATGTCAGAATATACTTACTTTTAAACCATCAGGTTGTCGTAAACCTAAAGTTGATATAAGATAGGATAAATTCTTTTTAATTACTTCGCATTCATCTACCTCCAACTGAAGTTGAAGAACTCGTTTACCGTGAATTACAAACCGTTCCCGGACTAACTGTACAAATGGCATAGCACGTTTTGCCATTTTACCCATAGCCTTTAGATGAGGACGTAAAAGTTGAGCTAACGTTGCATTATCTGCTAACGTTTTACCATCGTCAGAAAGATTAGCTGCCATAATTTCAAGAATTTGTGCCTAAAAAAGTTAGTAATAGTGAGTAACAAAATAGAAAAAGATTACAGTAAATATATATTTCACTCAACTTTCAAGCATATATTTGGAGAGAAAAATGTATTACGAATGAGAATCAGTCGTTTGAAAAGAGAAAAGCAGTTGAACAAATTTGAGGGCTATGAACGGTATCATATGATCCAACTTAATAAACTAAGAAAACATGATGAATCGGGATCTAGAAATACCTGCCATGCTGGATAAGCTTTAGCAACCCAAACAACAGCATCCGAAGGTGGAATAAACTGAGTAACAGAATGGGATCCAACAGATTTACTACTTTTGAACGACTTTGATGATTGGTATTGTTTAAGTTGTAATCTAAAAGTATGAGCTGCATCATCTATGTAGCGACCTAATTAGGAAAAAAATAAAACAAGAATGAATAGAAAAACATCCACCGAATAATTTAATTATTCTTGAGAAATAGTAACCAAACAAACTTAACGTTGGACCACATTTTTATATGAAAGTTCAACACCAAATGATCCATTAGTAGTACCCAGTGTAGTTTCTAGTCATTAGCGCTGGTTGAATGCTATCGATTAGGTTGTAATGTGATCATTAGGCCAAATAATCCAACACTGCGTGCACTATACTTTGATGGAAGGAGACAGTGAGAAACAGGGACTTAAAACTTCTGTTACTTAGAGTTCGAAAAGTGTACGCAAATGTTAGCTCAGTCAGACAAATAGCAACATTGCAACCATGTTGATAGAATTTGAGCAGGATTAGTGAATATAGAACGTGAAACTGGTTATCACTAAGTGAAACTCAACAGAATATTGGTTATGAACCGAACAAGTCAGTTGTAACGTCTCTGAATAGATAACTGAGTAAAAAAGGATTCGATTTCCAAAGAAGAATGTCAGTTTTCTCAAGATGTAGAGGACTTTAAGTTAGAGAGTGGTATTTAGCATAAAACTTAGGTTTGGACAATCGTGTTTAAATCTTCTAACAATGTTCGAGGGTGAAATACGCACTCTGACTTAAGAAATATATCAAACAAGTTATCTCTATGTCAACTATTAGTTAATGATGACTCACTTATTCTCAAAGTACTAACCACATTTTAAAAGCACGATTAGTAAACATGAACGGAATTAACAAATCAAACTACATTCAATAAGTGATTTTTACCTTGTAACAAAAGTATTCGATCTACTGGACAACTAAGCTCGGGCCACTTTTCACAAAAGATTGATGTCTTGTTGTTTAACAAATTAATCCATATGTGTTCACAAACATGTGAACAAATTGGACTAAGTAGTAGTAATTGAATATTCATATAACGTCGAATTAGATTAGTATGTACACTGCCTTGACAAACTTCACGATAACGGTCACGATGTGCCTGTATAAATATCCGAGAATAAAATGATACTGTGAAATGAATTAAAAAGTAATATGACGGTTAAAGGAAAGAGAATAAAAATTTATATATTGACAGAACGTAAGCACTTTAAGTTCTGATTGTTACCACATAAGCTGGTGTTTAAGAGAATATTCTTTAACTAAGCGAGTAGGAAGATGACTTAAATACTGTTCACAGAAATATGAATCATGATATTCAACTGTAGTTAAAGTTTTTAAAACCGACCAAATATTGTACTTAATAACAATCAGTCACTGTTCAAAAGACAAATAGCTAATTAAGATAAGTATCTATTGCAAGTTGGCTGACATTAACAATAAATTTGATAACCGAGTAAGTTGACCTTATACTATTAAGTTGGAATACAAGTAATAAAAATTCAATACATTAGATATCCATAGTATTTGAGCTGGTCATATATAAATTAGAAAGCATTAAACTTCTAACTAGAAAGCGGACAGATTACATTCTGAAATCAGATTGGTGTAAAATTAAAAAACTATTCATTTAAAGCATACCAAATTTGTGAAAGTTGCTACGGTAACGATTTACGATACATTTATATCTTGTTAACAAAAAAATATAAACCGCACAATAATTTATATTGACTTTTTAATTGAGAAACCATATTTCACCAAAGCTTATACTATGATGATTAAAAGCAAAAGTGATTTTTAGTAAAAAGTATCTATAGTTACCTGAAGTTCATAAAATACAATTTTAAGTACTTCTCTGTATTCATGTGAAGCGTATGCTTTATCGGCCAATTCAATCGTATTATTCATTTCACTATGAATAAAAAATTTAAAAATAAATTTTACTCAGAAGTAAATAAAGAGGAAACACAATGACAATTGTACCGTTCACTTTAAAAAAAGTCAGTTAGTCACTATAAATGATAAGTGTAAATTTGTGAAACTTAAGTATGTTAAAGATATGATCAATCATGAGTAATAAAAAGCCAATGTTATTCATCTAATCTATTTCGAATGGAAGCCGTACTCATTGCTGGACTTGAGGTAGAGCAGTAATGCCTGAAGCCAACCTAAACACCACATTGCCTCACGATCAATTAACCGCAGGCTTCGGTGTTGGGCTAATCCCTGTTCACTCGCAGTTACTGGGGGAATCCTTGTTAGTTTCGAATGATCAGAAAGATAATACTAACTATTGAACTATTAAGAATTGAAGATTAAATGAACTATAATTCAAGAAAAAGAACATGAAAACTACTGTAATAATCACTTTTTTAAAAATTTAAAAATGAATCCATGACTCATTAAAAACTAAATAAAGCGTACTTTTCAAAAACGAAATCTGCATGCATTGTATAAGCACCTGTTCGATAACCAGATTTTTGTTGTAAACTTGAATCATTTAAAATCTCCAATGTCATATTAAACCAATCCAAAAGGCCATATAAACGTAAAAGTCCAGCTTCAGCCATCTCTTCTTTTATATTAGCATCGTCTAACGAATCACCAGCATCAGCCAAAGCAAGACGAACACCTTATTGGGAAGAGAGAAAAAATAAGTGCAGAATAAACAGTAAATAGATTTTATAAAAAGTAGATGAATTTTTGTGTTTTTCTACATACGTATACGATTTGTTAGTATTTTATAAGGAATACAGAAAGTACATGCGTATTTAACTATTCAACAAAGGAAGTATTGTTTCCAATACACAGTAGCATTTAAAACATCAGTTCAAATTACTGAATATTGACTCTTACAATAGAAATGCTATAGATATGTTGATACACTACCGTTGATGAAGAACTTATGTTTCTTTCCTAAATCTTTTATCGGTTATTTAAATAAGCGAAAACAATTGTTTGTCTTCAGGACCCATTGAATTATATATATTGTGAGGTACATTTTCTTAAAAGAAAAAAAACTAAGAATATAATAAGCGACCATTGACTGACCATCAATTTTATGATATAACATAACTTTTAAGTCAACTAAACAAAATACTCCATGGATAAACAAGGACACATGAGGATAATACAGTCTGTGAAAACAACCAGCTTGAAACAAGGTTATGACAATGAATTTATTTAATACTTATGAAGAAATCAAATTAATCATTACTATTTAAGTAGACGCTGATTACGTTGTTTAGAACGATAACAAAGCTTTTCAGTTGTACTATCCATCTAGAAAATCTCGACATTAAAAACACTCGATAATTATTTGATAAAAATACAAAAAGTATAATTAAAATATCACATCTCACAACTAAATTAACTTATTTTTATTAAAGTTGAGAAAATAGTAAATTTCCAACAACAACAACAATAATAATAATAATCCAGATAACTTACCATCAGCTGAGTACTTTTCCACAGCATCTGCTAAAGTGAGAAAATTACCAGTTGATTTTGACATCTGTATGAAACAAAATTAAGATCAGTGGTCAATGTTATATATATAATTAAAAATAAAATAAGTAATTCTCCAACTGTTTTACACGAATATGTGAACAAATAGAATCCAATAAACATGAATCAGTTAAAATGAGTGATTTAGCACTAGTCAGTCAGCAACAACGTAGGACTTCGTACGTACGTACGTACGTACATCAGTTCGAGTTGCCACACCACATTAGCACAGAGATGCAGTGGTCGATTCAAATCCCGTAGTGGTAGATGTAGTAAAATTATAAGCTGTAATCAGAAAAATTAGGGTTTGAGGATGTTATTCAAGGAGTATAATACTGTAAAATCAATTTGGAAAGAGGAAAAAAGAGAAACGACAAATTCAGAAGATTAGAATTTGGGAGAACACAAAGAGTGAATGCACCTGCGCCATTGCAAACGATTTTGAGCCATGTCATTCAGGGTCTCTAACCATCGGTTGCTATCATCTCGCGGTCCTCAACAGGGTAGTCTACACCTACCAATATGACTCAGTCCACTTGTCAGTGACTTCATGGACTTGTGCCATGTTTTGGTCTGGCCGCCCCTAGCTTTCTTCCAACCTACTACTACACCAGAAAACATCCCACGTCGGGGCAGTCGGTGGTTGGGCATATGTAACACGTGTTCCAGCTTCATTTAGCTTTAACTACTAAATGACAAATTCTAAAGCGTCAAACAAAAAAAGATCTGTACGCTATTGATGTTTGACAGAATTTATCTACCCTAACATTTCATACTATTTTACTGGTACTTTTCTTGTTATCAAATTTCACTAATGTGATTAATATATACACAAATATTAGATAATTGTTAAACCTTGAACTAATGACAGTATAACTGACATTGCTAACCTTAAAAACTACGAAGTATAAAAAGTCAATTACCTTATTAGAGTTCAATAACAAATGGCCATTGGCACGTATACTTCGAGGCCATAAATTTGGTTCATTTGGCCATATAGCAATGTGATTGTATAAGTAGTAGGTTAAATGATTGGAGATAAGATCCTTTCCGCTAACTCTTAAATCAACTGGATACCAGAAAAGAAATTCTTGACGAAGTCTCTTCAAAATTGGTACACTTAGAGAGGAATGACTTTTCGTTTCGACTAAATCCTCTGGATTTCCTATTCCTAAAAATATGTAATCCCACACTTCTGGTGTCATGTGTTCTGGCCTTAACAAAAAGATAAAAATCATATTTAAAGGAATGTAACGTAAGCATGTATACATAAATATCGACAAAAACTTGAGCTATGAAAACAGAAACAAGAAATTCTGTCGAAAATCTGAAATGACTTCTTTCTGTTTAAATACTTTGTTACTGTTTGAAATAATCGACTTTAAACATTGGGTACACTAGGTTTGAAAGGCATTTCAGCTACTTCAGTTTCAACAACCAAATATCCAGCTGTTATGCAACATAGCTTAAAGTCGAATAGATGAATTCGTAAATGGTACATAAGTTGAATTTAGCTGCACTGAATGCATCATGGGAAACTAATGTTACATAAGAATGCATCATTAAAACATTTAATTTTGTCTATTTAATATTCACTGAAAAATTATTACCGGTACAATTCCAAATTTCAGTTATAGTTAAACATCAAACAAACAGCGATCATATATAAAGAGTAACTTATTCTGTACTATTCTTAAATGCTTTTTTATATGGTTACTCGTTTGATCAGTGAAAAAAATCTTTTTGTAACAAAAATTTACAAATTAAATAAAAGAAAATTTTGAAAATTTGGGAATGTTTTTGAAGTAACCGAAAAAAAGTTCATGAGTACACTTTTGTTCTTCTTTTCAAAAATCTAAATCTTCATCAGAGAAATGAATACACAAAAATGTCATCTTGAAAAAATTCAGTTTTATGGACAAATTATTAAATATTACTTTATTTTGTCTTAATATATATTACAAGTTTAACAGCAAATTTCAGCATATTTTAACAAAGTTGTTTGAGTTAAACAGTATCTTAGATTGTCTGTAGCCTTGTTTATCATGATTTAACTTGCAATATCAATATATATATATTAGAAAATGCAATAACCATTTTGAATTTTCGCCAGTTAGATAGGAGTTCAGATTCTAAATTCTGTAGCCACATATTTTCGAAGCTAAATTATTTTACTTCAACCAACGGACTGTTACACATATAACACAGAATTACCAAATATTTATTTTGCACTATCGCCCGAAAATTATGTATTTTTGTTCTGTGCTTTATAATCTCAACAAAAACATTTGCTACATTTAACTCATTCTATAGAAGCCAAGAGCAGAACTGAAATAGGTGTGATAATCAAGTAAACAAAACGAGGGTGTACTTGTTAGTCCAACCAACAAAAGATTAAAAAAGATAGGAATACCAACAAAATATCACCTAAACTAAGGTTAAAATTATTTCTGGGGAGAAATAACAATGAATAAACACAAACAAAAGTGCAGTAACTATTCAACTGACCAAATTTTAAGAGGACCAGGTTTTCTACCATCTAATGACCCGCCCTGTAACAAATGAGCTATTGTATAATATGCCATATATATTGTAGAGTCAGATAAAGATTCAATAAGCCATTTATCATCCCATGGTAAACGAGTACCCAAACCATATGTACGAGAACAAGCATGTTCATGTAACCAGTCAACGGTTGAATAAAGACCGCGTCTAACCTAAATAAAAAAGTAATGAAACCCCATGCCATTATTAAAAAGAATAAGAATGAATCCAACATAAAATCAAGTTAAAAAATTTCAAAACACAACACGTTCACACGTTTGCAATTAACCAATAAGACTGTGAGTGAATACATTTACAACTACAACGAACAAGCACACAGAAATATCTGTTTGTCAGTGTAGATCGAATTTTACACACTGGAAAAAGTACCTTACTTTTTGTTTTTGATAAGAGTCTTTCTTGAGTGATATAAGCTTAAACTTATGAGGCGAAATCTTAAATATATGTTGATATAGTCTCCCTAAACTAAAATACAAAATGAATAAAATATATAATCTAAACATTTTAAACAGTAAATATTGACCGATTTGTTGTTTGTTTCTAATGTATTCAAACATTTTTGCACATTCAATTGAACTATAACTAAACTAATTAGAATGAAATTAAAAAATATGAAAATTATAAAGTACTCTATACAAATTTACAATGGAAAAAAGGAACAATGTGTATTACCAACAAGTAACAGATAAATGAATTCATTAATTACGCACAGAGGTCAATACCACATAGAAATTCCACCAGATATAACGTATTTTCTAAACTACTATCAGAAATAATTTTGAATTTTGAGGGTAAACCAAGGTCACTAAAACTAATGTATGGGAAAGTGATACACATTTCTATTCGTAAACTTATTGATAGTTTAAAATAAATCAGTTTTTTGAATACTATATACATATAAATAGTTCTAGAACTGGTAAAATCATTGATCGCAGTTATTTTTGTATTTTTTTCTCCCAAAACTTTATTTTGTCACGTTTCGTCTAATTAAATGACTATGTTTAAAATGATAATAATTGGTTCGTTATTACTGAAAACTGATATAAAAGGTGAATATTTTTCGATTGATCGACTATCCTCGAAATTATAAACGAAAATAACGTACAAAGTACAAGCCCTGTACTTTTGAACGTTGTCACGGACACGGAAAACGCGTTCTTGAATACATTAAAAAAGGATTGCCATGCCGTCATGGTTTGGCCTAATACACACGCACATTAATACAGAAGGAGACACATATAATTTCAATAGTATAATAAGATGAAGATTGTCAGAACTAGATGATACATTAGCGCAATACATTTCAAACAATCTGATCACACACATACTTGTTAAGAAGAATGACCAGCTTCCCATCTTAGATATACCTCTAACTAGACCACAAGATGGCCCAATCCAACGATGTGTGTTAATCTTAGATATCATTACAGTGGATTTCATATTGACACACTTGTGAAACCCCCGATGATGATACAAAAGCATACAGTGCATAGTTTTCAAATAAATTAATTATGCCGAGTTAATCTTTCTGTGTCAAAAAGGTGAGACACAACGCATCATCTTTATGTACAATAACATAAACTTTACAAAAAATAAACTCGTCGTGATACTAATCTTACGACAATATATCATTAGAGATACAATATTACCTCATCGGTTGCTGACAAGTTAGCTACTGCTTTACGGACTTCTGTTTTCCATTCCTCTGAGCCGTAATCTAGATACCATTGATCACACAAAGCAACCACTGCTTCATCACCACCACGTGTAACGACTAGATTTTCCGGCTCGTAATAAATTATAGCTTCATTCTAATACAAATGGATTTATAAGCAAAAAAGCACAACGCTGTATAATTGACAGAACTTACATTACGATATTTATGGCAAACAATTTGACAGATAGAATGCTATCAAATCTAAATAATTCAGTCTTTTATCCGAAGTGAATACTTGTTTAGAATAATTTCAAATTTGGGAGTTCTGTTTAAACGTTTGAATGAGACAGTAACAATTCTTCGGACTCTTAGGTTTAATCGTAAGTAACAGATCAAGAAATGTTTATGTAAAGCAAGTTAGTGTAATATATTTTAAAGAAAGGTATAATAGAAATTAAGCTAACTGGAATAACCGAGTTTAGCAGGTTTGCTTTCGATATTCTTACTTGTACACTTTATCCTAACTCGGATTTTTTTACTTAGAATTTTTGAGTGAACAAGGTTGGCTTACAATTAATGAAGCTCACTGAAAAACATATCATTGGTTAATCTACAAGTAATTATGAGATGATGGGAATCTGAAGTTGAACCGAGGGATCTTGAATGATTTAGTCGATTAAGCTGTCAATCCCGGACAAAATGACACTCCCAATAAATAAAATTATATAACTACAGATGAACTACCAAACTTAGTAATCACAGTAAATGGCAAGTCAATTCACGACACTTTTTTTTATTTTACTCCATATATATTAACTAAGAAAGAAATTAGTACAACAGATTGACAACTCAGTATTCTAATTTAGTTGCAGCTATACACATAATATATACAGTTTTCGATATAAAAAAGTGGATAACAAAATACCGGCACGTGTGATATTTAGAGTAAAACACTATGGCTGTAAAACGCACAATTAATGCACTATGTAGGATTTAAAAGTCATATTTCATTTGTAGATATTAATACCACTGTTTGACGTTGTAATTCTCAACAAATTTAGCATTAGGTAGAAAGTAAGTAATAAAATAACATATTAGTGACATCTCAAATGAGTATAAATTTGGACTTCTGATATCTCATAACTAAGTATAAACCACTCCTTGTGAGTAAGCAAATCCGGTTGTTTATTTATTTGATCTGAAGAAATGACTTAAATTAAGTTACGAAATGTTAGAAATAAAAAAATTTTGCTGGTTAGGATATAATAAGTATTTTATTAGTCACACTTAATATTTTCCTGATGAAGAAATTGTAAAGACCCAAAGTTTAGAAATGTGCAAAAGCAATTTAATGGTGTGAAATATTGTGAAAGTTGTAGTTTTATTTTTTTAAAAATAATTATGCACATTGAATTGTTAAATTATTACTAATGAAATTCAGTAGTAGGAATTTAAATTTCTAACTAAAATAAGTTAGAAACAACCCAGAAATTTTAACTGGCAATAACAGGGATATAATTAGTTCACAACACATATTTAACTAATAAATCTAAAAAGAAATTCTTTCCCACTCACCGTTTCAACTAATTGGTCTTGAATAAGTTTTTTCACTGAATTCACCTTTAAACCTTTATATTTTTCAACCAACATAATCTAATATGTTATCATATTCAAGGAACAAGAATATGTATATTTGTATAAGAATAGCCTACCCCATCGTAAAAACCAACACGATAAACTTTTTCTTTGGCCTCTTGTAATTTATCTCGATCATTTTGACTTTGAATCTTTAACTGATCTACTATTGTGACAGCTGGTAAACTACCTAAACCCGGTGTCTCAATTATGGGTATCTGAAAATTGAAATCATAATATAATTGTTATTATTTCCAAATAAATTACAAACCGGTTCGAATGGTATGACCATCGAATCAAGAAGATTGTATTTCGTTCGGAATGCCTGCGAATTAAAAATGAAAACAATTGAACAAGAACAGTATGGCTCAATTTATTAGAAATCTAAAATTAACGTAATAAAGTGGTGATGTAATGGTTTGTTCTTACTGTTAATCCTATCAGAAAAATGACGCCGACAAATGTTTCACCAAAACCGGAAATTCTTGTTGTAAAAACTGACTTGCTTGTAAAATTCCACTAGAGAAGAGTGCTAACGTAAACCACAGAAAATCGTGAAACTACCCTCAACACCCATACGCAGAATTCTATCAAAATTTTAATAAACCCATATCAGAAATAAAATATGGAAACGTAAGTAGTTATATAATTATTGGGTCAGTGACCTAGAATCAAGTTTGACAACTGTGATTATGAAAAAACAACCGCAGTAATTGATTACCACGTCCATTGATTACGCCTGCTGTTACAACCGAAATGTACAACAATGTCATCTTATATAAATAAACAGGCAGATATTTTATTTGCTTCAAGCATAAAGCTTATGCACTTAAGTATATGGTGGGTTGGATTGTCAGTTACTCATTAACACATAAAAATAGGCTTAGGGAGTAATATTTCAAAGGGGATTGAACAGTAAACCTTCACCTGTTTCTGTGAGTTACGAGAAAGTGAGGTAACCTGAAAACCATAATTAAGTAAAAGTTGAGAAAATAAGGAACTGCTTATCAGCATTAAATCACAGAATAAATGATGACTAATCAAGTTGATTTCCAAAATCTCCAGGCTAACGACCAACACTGTTGAAAGCAATTTAACTCATGTATAGCCCTTTTACTCGACTTATGACACAACCTCAATGAAAAGCCATGGCAATGTATATAACAATAACCAAGTAAAAGTTCATTAGCTTGATTTAAGGTCATCACTCTACTAAGACTTTCGGAGGGATTCAAATCTGCATCTCACTGAACATCGAGTAGTTTAACTTGCTTGTAACAACTTAAGTCATAACAACACACAGTAATGATATGTTATTCATAAGTTATTGATATAATGGGTTAAATATTAAACAGAGCTGAACTTTCGGAACTGTTCTACCTTATGTTATTGTTTAAACTTCTGCCGTATGACACCAGATACTTGAATTATTATATCTTTATATGCCTTCATCTGTAAACTTTTTCGCTAGGTATAAATTGTTATTATGTGCTATACGTTTCTTAAGTTACTGTTAATGTATTACGGACCTATTACTCAGTTTTATTTAAATTACGGAGTAGTTATGTTTACATCGTAATTTCTAAATTATGTTGGCGTGTGACCAAAATTTTACTCTATATTATTGTACGAATCAGTTATAAATCTGAATTTCATAATTAGACGTTATCTACTTGCTGTATTGTATTCTACTATGGATCAACAGTCATGAAATACTGTTCTCGGTTTTTGTTTCACATTATCGTATTATTGGTTAATAGAAGGTCGCTGGTACTATGTAAACATTTTGGGTAAAGCAATCAATATTTAGACCAGGTCATACAGCCGCTCTCCTCTAATTACACATCGATCGTATAGGCCGCAATATTATTCAAAAATATTTTTATTCTCCATAAAAATTACTAAATGAATTAACAGCATAAAAGGAGCTGCATCCTTAAATAATATGTAATTAATTTATTAGTAAAAATATTTTCGTGATATCTCAATGAGTAGAAAATTGTATTTCTGAAGTTTCATGACCTTTATTTATTTATTTGAACACATATATATTGGTACAGGAGTGCGCCAAATATATATGCGCCACATAAAACAATGAGAATTTAAGAAGAAAAAAAATTGAGGGACGTAAAAAAATGATGATAATAATAATAATAAATAATAATGAAGAGAGTGGTGTAAGGGAGTGTAGTAATAATCATAGTCATAATGGGGGAACGGAAAGGTACAATCAGAACAAATCTTTCAGTTAAGGAAGATACAACCACTTTTATGAAGAAAGTAAAAGAAGGTTACAGCAGTATCGCCACTGGCTTCTATTCTGAGCCATGTCCGATAACGTCTCTACCCACTGTGTAGCACCATCTCTCGGACCCCAACCAGGGAGTCGTGAAGGACCAACAGAAGCCAATCCTTTGCAGCTTTCTTTCATACCACGACACCATGTCATATACTGACCACCTCTCCGCTTTCTCCAACCAGTCCCAGAGTCGGCAAATAATGCACGACGTGGAATTCTTTGGGATGACATTCGTAGAACACGTCCAAGCCACCGAAGTCGGTGTTTCAAGATGGTGAAACCAATTGAATTATCATTTCTGTGCCCGAACACACGATGCCGAACCTCTGCATTACTGACATGGTGTTGCTACTGAATGTCAGCAATCCTTCGGAGACAGTGATGATCGAACACAGAGAGTCGTCTAACGTCCTCAACTCGGAGAGACCAGGTTTCAAAGCATAGAGCAAAACTGCTCTCACCGACGCGTTGTAGATCCAACCTTTTACAGCCAGACTAACATCACGAAGGCGCCAAAGGCGGCCCACATTGGCATAAGCCGCTCTGGCCTTCACTATTCGTGCATTGATCTCATCACTCACACCCCCACCAGCACTTATGCAGCTACCCAGATACACGAACTTCTCGACTACGTCTATCTGCTCACCATCCAGGGTGAGTACAGGATTGGAATCCTGCCAGTCTTGTAGAAGTACTTTGCACTTCGAAGGTGCAAAGCACATACCATACCTACGGACACTGATTGCCAACTGATTAAGTGCGGATTGCATGACTTGGGCATTGTCGCACAGTAAGACAATATCGTCCGCATACTCAAGGTCAAGAAGTCTTTCTCCGGGCAACAGATCCACACCACCATTACTTACATTCATCGGAGCTGTTTCCAGAATGTCGTCGATGGCAAAGTTGAAGAGGAATGGTGAGATTGGGCAACCCTGCCTAACCCCACTGCTCGAATGGAACAATGGAGAGAGGTGGTTGTATGCCCTCACTCTGCCTGAGGTGTTTGTATATAGGGCTTTTAGGATGTTAATAAACTTCTCAGGCACACCCTTCTTCAATAGACAATCCCAGAGAACAGTCCTATCCAACGAATCGAAGGCAGCTCTGATGTCAAGAAACACTACGATTGTTGGCTTTTGAAAAGTATGGCGGTGTTCTAACATTTGGCAGAGGGTGAAGATATGATCAATACATCCTCGACCAGAACGAAACCCAGCCTGCTCCTCGCGAGTCAATCTTTCTCAGGTTTTGAACAACCTACGAAGTATGACGGAAGCCAATAGCTTGGACGCAATCGGAAGTAGACTTATCCCCCGATAGTTGTTGCAGGAACGACGTGAACCCTTTTTAAAGATAAGGACAACTATCGACTCATTCCATGACGTTGATACACTCTCTAGCTTCCACACCTTTGTAAACAACGTCGTCAATTCCTTAGTCAGAAAGTCACCACCATCATTAAAAAGAGCCGGAGGTAAGTCATCTGGGCCAGGTGATTTGTAACTTCCTCCTTGTTTGGTGGATCAGTCGTCAGCTGCCATGGAGGGCAGGACAGTCTGACCGATGTTGCCGGAGCAGCAGGCCAGTTGAACTGCCCTTCGAAAAATTCTGCCCATCCTTCAAGACGTCGATGTTAGTGATTGGCATCCCGTCATCCTCACAGATTGTTTCGCTCACACCAGACTTCTTGCTGCCACTGGCTCGGATGAGTTGGAAGAGCTTCCGGTAATTACCAGATGCAGCTGCTGCTTCCAGCTCATTAGCACGCTTCGACCACCAGGCTTCTCGGTCCTTACGCAAGCTTTGCCCAATTTCCTTACGTAACATCCTTCGTTTGTGGTCAAACTCACGGTCACCCGGAGTAGACCGACGGGCTTCAATGAGTTGTAAGGAACCAGAAGAAACCCAGTGCTTAAAAGCGGGACGTTTCGCAAACCCACAACTGACTGTTCCCGCCATTTTCATGGCGTCATGCAATTGCAACCAATGCTCATCTATACTTTTCGGTGGAGTGGTAGCAATAATAATATTTGAATCATTTGAATGTTCGTCGAAGCAAGAGAATTAGTTTCCATGATCATAGACAGTTCAGTTCATTAATTGTGTGTGGACTGTGATACTGCTCGGGTGCCCAAACCGAAGCAGGTGGTTATCTTAGGGGGCCACACCCCGAGCCTTTGACCTAATGGTCTAACCCACAAGGCAGTGGAGCATCGTGAGGAGATGCAGTCCCATGGTAGCCGATGACCGAAAATAGGTTCATACGCCTTTTGTTCCCGCAGGATACTGGAGCCCATGTGCACCATTGATTTAGAATCCGGTTAAAGCGCCGGACATTCGCCTTTCGTCCTCTTATTTTCGAAAACAACACCCCTGCCACGAGAAGGCAGTGAGTAGGACTTCCCTGCCAGAGGCCGTATACGCGTGGCCGTGTGAGAGTATTTCGAGAGGGAGGGCGAACCCACCCCGCTCTCGGCCATACCAGGGCATTTGGAGGCCCTAATGTAAGTCACCTCTTCAGAGTAAATTATACATTGTTATATACTGTTGGGATATTCAGGAAAATATCCCAAAAATTATTCTGTAAAGTCTAACGCTATCCTTGGACTTGAGATGGTGCCATTTTCTTATTGGTCAATATTTATTTCATGTGTCATTTTCCTACTGGTCAATATTGTATAATGTTATTTTCTATTTAGTGGTACGATGTGGTCTGCTTGATTGGTATATAAGCAGAGTGTGTTTGAAATATAACGATTCATATCTTCGAGGCTGAGACTTGTGTTCTAGACTCAACTGGCTGAGCTAGACAGGGAAGCGGGACCAATCAGAACCCTAGGCCGTTCTTACGTGTTTGCGCGTCTTTGGTCCGATCGATAATTCACTGTCCTCTAATCTGCCGTCACAGTTATAGCATATACATCAATATAATATGTAAAAGTAGCCAAGATTGGATTAAAGCACGCTCCGCGTAGGATTATGCTGGGGCACACTGAATGACTATTTCACCACCAATTAGCGACAGTGAACACTCGAGAATCTTCCTATGTAAAAACTATAAATAAGCTAACGTTTTTCATACTGTACTTCCTACTTCCATCTACTCTTATTATTTGGAATATAATTTCGTTCCTGTTCAACTGCGTTCTGATTCGGGGATTTGTCGAGTGAATTAATTTCCAAGAATACTAAGTGATAGGAGTAGCTGAGTTGTAATAAGGGAAATTATAACATCTATCACAAAACAAAAACGAATGAAAGTGAAACAATAATAAGGTAATCTTACAGGCTTTTTAATTAAGTCTTGCAAAGCGACCCAGTCATCTGGAGAATCGCTAGGAACACTAGTCACAATTCCGGTACCCTTAGAAGATCGAATCGACATCATAGGTAAAACAAAAACTCCAGATTCATAAGAGGATAACGGAGCCTTGACTTTTAATCCGAGAAGATCAGCACCTTTGAAATTCGCGACTATATCGATGTGCCCAGGGTGTGAAGGATCTAAAATACCCTGAAATCAAGTTGCATAACAACAGGTTATTGAATGGAACAGAAAATTCCGACATTTCAAACAAGGAATTAGACGCTAGGACATCAATGAAACTTTGGTCGTAAAAATCAGTTTTAAAGCATATTGTAAGTGGAAAATAATTTGGACAGGCATGTCACCGAGAAAATAATAGATGGGGGTGTAGAATACATAATTAGAACAAAAAAGCAGATAAAAATCGAGAGTATTCTGGTTTTCCTAAAACGAAACAATCTGTAATAAGTTTAAAATTAACGCATCAGTAAGAAAGGTAGCTCATCGGTTAAAGCATCTAACTTCCAATTACTGGTTTGAAGGTTCAAAGCCCATTCCACCAAAATTAAACTCTACGGAATGTTAAGCAATGAGGTAAACACTGAGAACATATGTTGATAATCATAAACAGAACATAATGGAGTTAGATGATACTAACTAAACGAATTAAAAGTAATGGTTTATCTTAGTCGATGTTTTTCCAATCACATCTAAATGACCGGATCCTTCGGACCTTACAAATTATCTAGAATTCATAAAAAGGTGGCTCTTAAAGAGTAAGTTGGTTTTGGTTGTTTAACCTTTGCCGATTGGTTGAACACCCACGAACTCCTGTAGGTGAAAAAAATGTTGCGTTTCGATATCAGAACCGCCTTTAATACATCGAGTAAGACTTACTGTTGGTGAACGATATGCTTGAGAAGATAAAGAATTTGAAGCCTCCGTACACACTAAACCCATCCCTCCACTGTCCAGCCTCACCAGTGGTTAGGCAGTCTTGCGAAATTTCATCATCTCTTTTCAACCTCAGCTCCAATGGCATTCTGGAAACAGCTCCGTGAAAGGCAAGTGATGGTGGTGTGAATCTGTCACTTGGAGTGCTTTTGATTTTCAGCCCGAGGATGATAATGTCTTACTGTGCGATGATACATAAGCCATCCATATCCACTCAATTAGTAGAAAATCAGTCACTGTTAGTAAGGCATGCTTATTACACTTTCAGAATGCAAAGTATTCTTCCAAGTCTGGTAAGAACCTGCACTTCAGTCATTTTTGTGACCGGCTGGAAATTCCCAAAACGCTCTTGCATTCAGGTTTTAGCAGATGATATGAGTTTATGGAAACTGGAAACTATAAATCCTCATAGTAATCTAGACCATGTTTTGTGCCGTCACGACATTAGTTATGAAGTAAAACGTTGGCTATACCACACGTTCGTGAATGCAGTTCTGCTCTACGTTTTGAAACTTGACTCCTCTGAGTTTAAATTGTGTGGGAGCATGCTGTACTAAATAGTCGATATCTCCAAAAGATTGTTCGCATTTGGTGATAACACATTGGTAATTCGATCTATAGACACTGAACACGGTGATTTGAGCATACTATATGAATGTCATCCCAACGGCTTTCATACCCCCATTGTTTGACAACGA